TATCACCCTCATCAAAAAAATAGGTATAATGGTGATATACCAGAAAGAAAAGAAAATTTAAAAATTCTTTTTAAGGAGCTACATCCATGAATCAGACTCAAACAGTACCACTTCTGATCCTGCCATTGATTTTTCTTGTCAAATACAACTCCCATGAATATTTATAAATTAAATGCCTATGAAGGAGGAACTCATGTTTTATTAATGTCTTCTTTACTAGGAAAGAATTTTTACTCTGAGAGTTCCGTATCTGTCTTATCACAGTCCCATTGGAGAGAGGAAAGATATACAATTTTTGCTGTTTAAGTCATTTAGATCAGAAATGTTCTTCTAGATTACTCTGCCTGACCTGTATATGCCTGCCACTGGAAAAAAAAGGGGTGTGTGTGTGTAGCTGATTAGAACCACTTTGAATTTTGAATTCACAGAAATTTGTGCATTCAGACTGCCCTGTGCTCTGGCTCACTAACATTGCTTAGTGGAAATGTTGAAAGAGGACCTGACACCTAGATGGACAGATTTTTTTTTGTCTAAATTCCTCATTTCTTGAATTTTGAAACTACAAAGGAATGTTAATTATTCCAGTCTTTTCTTCTCTCTAAAAGAAAATATTTTAATCATCCAAGAATATGATTTAACAACCCTCTCAGATTCACGTAACTTTTATTTATTGGCCTTTTGAAATTTAGATGAAATGTTTCTACAGTGATTGATTTGTCACCTGACCCAGTTTCCTGGGCTGAAGTGGAACAGGGTTTATGAGTTCCCCAGAGATGTGAAATAAAGTGGTTTGAATTCAGGCGCTGGAGTTGGACAGCCTTGGATTCAGTCCCCACCCGTCACAACTGGCTTGTGCACACTGGACAGTTATGCAATAATTCTGGGCACATTTCTTAATCATTAACATTGGTTTTCCAATAGGAAGTAGCCCATATTTATTTTTTCTAAATATTATCTGACACAATGCTTGAAAGTACCTGGCAAATAGTACATGCACTATAAATGTTAGCTATTATTACTGTTACTGTGTTGGAAGAATTGATAGGGTTTCTAAGATCCCTAAGGATGGAAGGAA